CTAACCTCTAAATAAACAGTTAAAATTGTCAACATAAATGTTCTCTTTTAAAATATTTATATTTGCGAAGCATGAATGATTCAAATAATCATAGTTCTCCTTTGGTAGCATAAAGTTGCAATACGTGCATTTATAATACTTTAACAAAAAATATAAACAACATTATTATATAAATCTAACAAATATTAAAATAATTTTTAAATAATATTTAATATTTTTTATGTAAACTTACATTAGAATCTGCTTTATTCATATTAACATCACACCGATCACGCGATTCCATCGTATCCATCATTTAATATTATTTCACGTTCTACCAGTGTTTATTTTAACCTCTTTCACCTCTATTCGATAATTACGTCCTTTCCGCAGCATCTAACAATAAGGCAAATGCAGAATAGCGCTGATTGATTGTTTCAATGACGCACTTTCTATTCCGCAGTCCTATTACGCACCATCTGATTGCGGCCTTACACCGCCGTAATTATTACAAATTTATAACGAGCGTTCAGACAACGTATTCAACATATTTATACTAAACGTATCCACACGGTACACTGTACATAGCTAACATCAAATTATACAATAAACCAAGTTTTATTTTGCTACACACAGACAGCGATTTTCTTAACATGACCCCAACTGACCGAACTCCTGATCCCGGCGAACTATTCCGCGCAAATAAATGGACCGTTTCAAATTACATTAATTAGCTGAAAATTACGACTTTTTGCAATACGTCCCGATTGTTCTAAGCGAGCGTTTCATTCTGAAAGTCATTTTTGTGCAGAGTTTCGCAATTAACTATTCTAATATCGTAAACAATTTTTAATATTCGGCCGCCAATGAAGTAGTTGTAGAATATCGCACTTTTGTTCGTCCTATGTGTTCTACTTTCTTTTTTTTTTTTTTTTTTATTTTATTACTAAAAGACCGCGCTTCTAAATTTTTTTTTGTTATTGAATTAATTATCGTTGTGTCATAGCATCAAGCGGACGTAAATCGCGATAAATATAACGATGCCTCAGAACTTGTGTTCTGAGATACGAGGTCGTATTGTCGGACAGTGGCAGGCAGGAAGAACAGTGGCAGAAATTGTTGCTGCTTCTTTGTTCTGTAAAAACTATCCGACAATGAATCCAACGGTTTATTGAAGATGATGATCATGCTTTGCATGATCATCGTCGAAATAACCATGGTCCTCGTAAAACCAGTGCACAAGAAGACGAAGCTATCGTTGCCGCAGTTTCTGATAACTCCTTCGGGAGTTACGTCCACAAGACTATCAACGCGGCGAACGTCCATATATCTGAGAGGACTGCGACGTCTCAACGAAGCTGGGTATCATTGTTGCCGTCCAGCCCGCAAAATTCCGCTGACTTCCGTTCATCGGGAACAGCGTATCGCGTTTTCTTTGGCAAATTTGGTAACGAGCCGTGAAGAGTGGGAGGCCACGATCTGGACCGATGAAAAAGTCTTTGTATCGTGTGCCGACCGCCAACTTCACGTATGGCGACCAAGAGGTGAACGGTTGAATCCAAATCATGTTGTGTCTATCCACAGAAGTAGAAGGATTTCATGTGCAATGTGGGGCTGGATTTCCGGCACTACAATTGGTGAGCTGGTGGAAATTCCCACACGTATGAACTCTGTGGAGTATATTTGCATACTTACTGGAAGATGTTTTTCCATCAGTACACGCAATCTACTCCGCAGAGGACATGCCAGTAATCTGATGGTGCAGGATAATTCCGCAGTCCATAGATTGCACGAAACACAAACATGGTTTCGGAATCATCCGGAGATCCAATTGGTTAACTGGCCTGCTCGTTCATCAGATCTAAATTTAATCAAAAATGTTTGGGCACAAATGGTTCGACGATGGGAACCAAAAAGGGAAAGGACAGCAGCAGCGTTAGTTAATCATGCGAGAAAAATCTGGGAAGAACTTCGGTTCTGATCAGACTTTCTCGCTAACTTTATTGATTCGATATACCGTCGAATCAATCAAGTTATTGACCGGTCCGGATTACTGAGAAAATTCCGCGCTAATCACACAATCAGCTCATAACTCGAAAAGTACTTAATAAAAAATAACTTCATTATAATGTTTTGAAAAGCTCTTGACACCAGCTATTAGATTTTGGAATCAAAAATAGGGTGTTCCATTTAAAAAAACAAAGTTGACCTCCATATGATCTTGGCATGTACACCCTAGATTAAACCAATGTCATTATCGGATGTCTCCCTCCAAACCTAACAACTTTCGTCTGAATCATTTTTTTTGAAAATCACTTCCTTCGAAGTTATTCGGTGTGCTCATTTAAAATCGGACACCCTGTATATGTATGTATATATGTATATATGTATTTATGTATGTGTGTTGTGTATGTGTGTAACATAAAAACGCCTATAGGTATGTGTGTGTGTGTGTGTGTATATATTACTTCACTGGCGGCCGATATTAAAAATTGTTTACGATATTAGAAATAATTAATTTGCGAAACTCTGCTCACAAAAATGACCTTCAGAATGAAACGCTCGAGTAGAACAATCGGGACGTATTGCAAAAAGTTGT